TTCGAATTTTGTGTCTCAAGTCAGGTCGCTGTTTCACTCCGTACTCGTGAAACTCGCGTTAAACGATAGGGCATATCCCCATATATTTATTATCGAGGCTGGTACAGTGATTCCTTTGTACGTGACGAGAGCAATTCTGCACTCATTACACAGTCTTGTTCACTGAGTCTCGCTCTTCTTCTGTCGGGAGGGGAGCACTCTCCCCGAGATTTCTACCGTCTTCTTCGCGCCCTTCTCGATTCTCCCTCCCGACATGAACTCCAGGATACCCTGCAACACCCCTGATTACTCAAGACGTCCTCGACTACTGGCGTCGTTAATCGTTAAAATCTACGAGTGCCAAGTGCTGTTGATAAATCAAAGAATCCTTCGTTCTCGGATTTGTCCCGGAGTGAAAGAGTAGAATAAAAATGATTAATTGTAGGAAAGAATTGTTTCTATGGGGGAACGTAGGTATCTTCGTTTCTTGGATATAGAAATTATATACAATTTTTACATTTTATATTTTTAAATGGTATTCAAATACTTTCTTTCCTTTAATTTGCCAAGTAAAAGCTCCATTTCGACTATTTTATGCGTTTATACGCATTTTATAGATTTTTGTAATTTTAAACTTTCCAAAAACACATAAATACTCGTAGTAATTCTAACTGTTCTAATATTCTCTGTTAGTATTCGTTATTTTTCATATTTCATATTGTAATTTTACTCATCTGATAATTACAAAAGAAATAGAAAGAAAAGTAGTACATTTTTGTTACACTGAAATTTCCTGTAAACACATAAGAATCCACAATCTAGAAATTACCGATATTCACATACTTTCTACGCATTTGATAGAACTTCAGTAGCATCCTACGTCTAACTTACAATTAGACCAATCGAAAAGAATTTCAATCTCGCTCTGAAATCATTAACCGTATAAATAATATATAACAACACATACATATACGTATATATACATATAAAGTGTCTGAAGTGCCATCGCTGTCCACGATCTCTCGCGGTTAGGATGAAATCACGGCGAATTGCACGAGCGCGCGAGCCAGATGGATAGAGATGGGGAGAAGGAAAAAGGAGACCGATGAATAAACTGCCAATAAAGCGGCCGATCTATTCCCGATGCAAATGAGACATTAATAATTGCATAGCTCCGAGTGTCAATTCCTGATTGTACGAGCAGCCCTCGGGGCTGGCAGCGTTGCGCACGGTGTGTTCGATGCACACCGCAGACCGCGACGATATAATTCATCCACTCGAATAGCGATCTGACTGATAATTACACGCGCCTGCTTCTCTCGCCACTATAGATTTCTACCGTCTGCCTCTCTTTCTTTTGTCCCTCGTGTCCGCTTCCCTCCATCTCGTGGCCAACCCTCTTGCCTCCGCCACGCGTTCTCTACCTCCACGGCGAATTAAGGTTTACGATCGACTTTTATGGGAGACTCTGCAACCCCTTTTCAAATTGCCGGGCCCCACCGACGATATAAATAAAATTGCAAAGGGAAATATTTCGTTGACTCTCGAAAATCTCGACAAGACTTGAGTTCTCGAAGTCTCTAAAGTCTCGAGAGAATTCGAATTCTCGGCGTGGATGGCAATTCTGTCGTTCCGAGACTTCCAAGATTCAAGCCTCGTCAAGATTTCGAAGAATTTCAAGCATCGCAGGCTTGTGGAATATCAGTAATTTGTATTATACGTACAAAAATTTGAGTTTATTCACTTTCATTTTTAAAGAATATAAATTAAAAATGTGTTTTGAAGAAAGATCTCTAAAATAAAAGAATAAAACTGAAGTAAGTCGGTGATTCGAAAATTAAGTCACGTTTAGAAACCGTGAATTCCGAATCTGTTGTCAAATGGAGACTCGAAGCGATTCGAGGTGTTTCAAATCCCATCACCAGCCGTGGAACACGTTTCACGGATAGTTAAGTATGTACGTGCCCGCGCGTGTAGGCGGATGGGAAACGTTGCAGCTCTTTTTGTTCGTTAGATCGAGGATTCCTGAATGATCCGTGGCACTCGCGAGTACTTTGTATCGAGAAGGTTTGTACGAACACAAAAAAGACAAACGTGAGTCGAAAGTTTCGCAATGGTTTCGCGTAATATTGACGTCTAGGCGATTGAAATTCTTGTTTGCTGCT